TTGATCCCAGGACCTCAGGATCATGACCTGAGCTGAAGGCAGACGCTTAACCCCACTGAGCCACCCAGGCACCCCGAGGTCTGCTTTAATTTTAGCATAATTGAATAATGCAGTTGGCATGGTATTCTGTAAGGTGACTCTGTTCATGACTTAGTCCTCTTTTGTATTTTTGTAGGTAAATTTAAGAATTAAATTTCATGAAAGCTTTCTCGTGAAAAGGTCCTGTGGTCACGTGGTTCAAAATTCAAGATGCATAGGAGGGTAAACAGTGATTAGTCTCCCTGCTGCCCCCGTCCCTAACCACCCAGTACCTCCCCCAGTTCCGTGCGTGGCCTTCCTAAGATAGTCTGGGCACACAGGCAAATGTGCGTATAAATTCTTCTCTTCCTCCTCTCTCCCTTTTGTGCAAAATCTGCCTGTCCTGACCACTTTTCTGCTCCTTGCCTCATTCCCTTTCATAACATCTCAGGAAGGGGTGCAGAAGGAGCATGTTTTGTGTTGGCCATCATGGCTTTTTCCTGTTTCCTTTTATAGCTGCAAGGTAGGTCGCTTCTTTCTTGTCATGACCCCTCTTAATGGACACTCTGGTTGCTGCTACCAACTCTGCTAAAAGAATAACCCTTTACCTATGTTTCTTTATATGCGTGAGTATGTCTATAGAGCAATTTCCAGAAAGGGAAAAGCTGGGTTAAGGTAGGTTAAAGGTGAACTTACAGAGTTAAGGGCCCATTTTGCTAGGTATTGCCAAGTTGCTCTTTATAAAGGTTGAACCAGTTGTCACTCCAACCATGAGAATGCCCAAGGGGACCTAAAGCCATTGGACTTTTTTTTTTTTTTCCCTCAAGCTGATTGGTGAAAAGTAGTATTCTAGTCCAGTTTACATTTGCATTTCTTCCATGAGTAAAGTTGGACAGCTTTCCTTTCTTGTGAACTGTTCATTCATATCCTGTGCCCATTTATCTACTGGGTGGTGGTTTTTGCAGTTGATTTATTAAAGCTGTTGAACTATTAAATATGTTAGCCTTTTCTAACAAGTTGCACATTTTTCACCCCAAATTGTTTTTCTTTAATTTTTGTTTCTGGCATCATTTTGCCATGCAGATAACCTTTTATGTTCATGCGGTCCAACCTATGAGTGCTTCTTTCTTGGTTTCTGGGGTTTGTACCTGTGGCAGGGGTTTTGATTTTAAGTGGGGATTAGTAGGGGTCGGTCATAGCCGGTAGTTCGAGCCCAAGGGGGCTGAGGTGAGCACAGACCAGTGGGGCGAGACGGCCGCTGGAAGACCCCCGTTCTAGTTCGGTAATCCAGGCACAGGTGAGAAAAGAAAGTGAGCCATGGACCTCAGCTGAAGTCAGAGAACCCTGGGAAGCTTCTGGGGCAGGCAGTGAGGAGGGAAGAGAAGCCATCTCTGGGTGCGGAGCATGCTGGAAGCAGGAGCCTGCTGCGCACTCGGGGCTCCCACTCTTGTTCCCCGAATCCAGGAGGAGCTGGAGTTCTGCGAAAAGCTGCTACAGACCTGTTTCTCCAGCCCGACGGATGACAGCATGGATCGGTGAAACCTGGTGGCTTATCACCCCCTCTCCGTGGGAAGCCCAGGCGTCCTGCCTCCCAAGGGAGAGTGCGCGGCCAGGGCGTGCCAGCCCGTCTCCGCTCAGCCCCTGCAAGGGGGCGCTGAGGAAGGCGCCGGCTCCTTGGACCCCACCCCTCACGCTCTCACTGCGTTCCCCCTTCTGTGTCCACACTGTGCTTCTAATAAAGGTGTTTCTCCTTCGACTCCTTCGCTGCGGCCTTCATCACCTCTCCTGGAGGGTGCCTGGGTGGGAGGGGCACAATCCTAGGGCACCTACGCAGCCATGGAGGAGACGGCAGCGGGCGGGGCCCGGACATAAACGTGCTGCTCCCTACAATCCAGGGCCCTCGTGTCTCATCTTCTCAGCTTCTCTTGACAGGGAGGGTGAGGGACACCCGTCCTTGGTTTTGGCTCACCCGTTGTCTCCGGCTGCTGCATCTGAAGAACCCAGGCTGCCTGCCCTGAGGCGGAAGCCATGTTATTTCCCAGCATCCCGTGCAGAGGCGCATCGTGTGACTTCACTTCCGCCGGTCGGAGCCCACCGCGGAGGCCTCTGGGGCGCTGGTGCTGGGAGAAGGCGGGAGCAGGTGCCCTGAGCGTGGGCCTTGTTCCCACTCTAAAGCGCTGAGCCGTCTCCAGCCTTCTCCGAGCGTGGGGCGTTGAGGCAGGCCTGCTTTCATTTCATAAATTCCTTGTCAGTTTAGCTAAAGGAGGTTTTATCATTTGCAACCAAGGCTCCTGGCCAGTGCCGTATTTCACACAAGGAATCCGAGCCCGGGGTGCTAAAAGTTCACAAAGCCAGGTTTCAGACAAAGCTGTGCTCCTCCTCCCCTATTCTGGTTTCCTAGCTCCATTTGATGTAGACGAATTCCTCTCATGTGGAATTTACTCGTACTCTTGGGATTTGGGAAGGACAAATTATTTTCACCCTTCTTCCCAAATTCAGGATAAAGCGAAAGGTAGCTACAGGATCCGAGAATTGGAGATCAAGTATCACCTTTATTACTATTAGCACCGATCAGAGGAAGTGGCTTTAGTCTTGCTGCTACCACACCCCAGCATTAGACATGCTTGCCTGTCTGGTCACAGGCAGCACTGGATAAGCACAGGCCTTCCCTTGGGTGCAGCAGGCCAGACACTGGGCAGGCTGGCTCTGAGAGAGGGAGAGCTGGAGTGAGCCACGATGCCCATCCAATCTGGCAAATTGTTCCTCAGCCCCTGGGAGGGGTGGAGAGGCCAGGAGAAAGACACTAAGCGGTTGAAGTTACTCCATATGGAAATGTGAACAATGGGGAATGCGTGTTCGCACCAGACACTTTAAGAAGCCGCTTCCAGGGCACCTGGGTGGCTCAGTTGGTTGGGCAACTGCCTTCGGCTCAGGTCATGATCCTGGAGTCCCAGGATCGAGTCCCACGTCGGGCTCCCTGCTCAGCAGGGAGTCTGCTTCTCCCTCTGACCCTCTTCCCTCTCGTGCTCTCTCTCATTCTTTCTCTCTCTCTTAAATAAATAAATAAAATCTTTAAAAAAAAAAGAAGCCACTTCCAATTCTTTTTTTTTTTTTTTTAAGATTTATTTGAGAGAGAGTGTGTGCCCACGCAAGCAGGGGAGGGGCAGGAGAGGGAGGGAGAGATTCTCAAGCAGACTCCCCGCTGAGCACAGAGCTCAACCCAGGGCTCCATCCCATGACCCCGAGATCATGACCTGAGCTGAAACCGAGTCCCACGCTTAACCGAGTCACCCAGGCACCCTGCCCCTTCCAGTTCTAATGCACATAACAGTATGGTCAACCTGTGAGTTCTGATAGGGTGGAGACACAGATTTCAGTCCTTAAAGCTCCTGCAGCTTCCTGGTTCTTCCAGACTGACCATGTCAACTTCTCAGGTTTCATTTGGTGGTTGAATATGGCTACACCCCCATCCCTCAGTTCCTGAACTTATGTGTTAAAATAATATGGCAACTATGCAATCATATCGGCAGAAAAAAAAAAAAAAGCAAAATGCTGAGTAAAAGATAAAAGAATGCGACAGAGGAAGAGATGACTCAAGGAACAGAAGGAAATGCCTCCCCCTTGCTTCAAGCTGAATAACAATAGGAACCTGGGTCCATTTTAAAATAAAACCTCAAAGATGAAAAGGTAAGATTGGCAAAACTAAGGAAACAGAGGACTGGGGTGGATTGTTCAGGAAATACTTGCTCCCTCCCATTCCACCTCCGTGAGAGTGGTACACTTTCCTACCCCGTGGGGTGTGCAGTGTAAATGCCTGTCCCACGACTCTGGGCTTGATCCAGTGTGACTTGCTTTGACCAACAGATGGTAGCGAGGTGAGACAACTAGGGACTTGAAATGTGCTAAAAGATGGGCTTGACCTCAGGTGCTTCTGCCTTTCCTTATGAGATGGTGGCCTCGGTAGCCTATGGTGCCAGAATATGAGAGACCTGGGAAGCAGAACCAGCCTTGTCACCACCCTTCACAATGGCAGCTCCAAGTTGTGAACCTGACCCAGGCTGCCCAGGTGGTGACCGTCACACGGCAGTAGGTAGCTGTTACAAGGACCAAAAAAACGTCCCATGCAACAAATACAGTGGAAATAGCAAGGCCCAGAAGAGACATGTGATTATAAGTGGATACATGTGGAAATGACAAAGATCGTTAAAGGATAAAGAAGCTATGTGAAGGACAAATGCATAGTTGGCATCCTTGAAATGGAGAACAAACAACTAGTACAGGAAAACGTACTCAACCATACGATTCAATAAAATGTCTCTGAAATTAAAAAAAAAGTAAATCTGTGGTTGAAAAATGGAAGTTGAGTCAGTACACGCACTAGCTCGTCTGATCCTTACAGTGGGCCTGTAACATGGGGATGGGGACATAAAAGGTGGGGACACTGAAGCAACAGTAAGGCAAGGCCCGGGCAAAGGCATGCATGCAGGTGGGACCGAAGTCAGCCTGCAGCCGAAAAGGCGTCAAGAACCGCGCGGTATCGGAGCACCCAGCCTGGGCTGGAGAGAAAACCCGGTGTGGATTACCCAGGAGCTGGACCCTGGAGCCAAAGCAGGACTATAATTGGACGAGACGGAGTAGCGAATGGATTTCCAAAATGAGCGAGCGGGAAGAGAAATCCTGGAGCAGGATTGACTCTGCACTTTGGAACGGAGTCGTAGAGAAACGCCGGCGGCGCGCAATGGCGCTTGCGCATTGGGTTGTCTGGGTTTATTCGGGGAGAGACCGTTGGCCCAAACCAGCGCAAGCGCATTTGCGCCCTGCGCCGGCTGGGCCGGTGGGGAGCGGCCGGGCCTCCGCGCGCACGCGCACTGCCGGGCCCGGGAGCGCGGCCTCCGCGCACCGGGACGGCGGCGGGTGGGCGGGGCTTCCTGCGTGCCCCTGCGCTAGGGGATTGTGGGATAGTGGCGGACGGAGCCGGGCGTCGGAGGCCCCGACCGGACTGCAGAGCTCGGAGACCCAGCCGGTTTGGGGAAAGGGGCCGCCAGGGAAGTGGGCCTCGGCTTCCGTTGGCCGCTGCTCAGCGCCGCGGCCTGTCCGGACTGCGCAGGAAAGCGTCTTCCCTGACCGGCCTTTGCTTTCCCGCGCGGCGCCGGGCCGGCCCGGGCCAGCCGGGGCGACTTCCCCGCCGAGGGCCTCCGCGGGCCTCGCGACCGCACTGACCTCCCCGCGCCCCCCGGCCGCCGGCGGGCCCCGAACCTCCGCCTCCGTCCGCTCGCAGCCGGCGCCGCCCCCCGAAGCCCGCGGCTCGGCGCGCCGGGGTCCCCCCTAGGCCCGAAGGCGCGAGCGTGAGCCCCCGCCGCCGCCCCCCGCCCCCTTATACCGGGCCCCTGAGCAGGGGCCGGAGCCTCCGGCGGCGGGGCGGGGGGGGCGCCCCGATGAGCCCCGAGTGCGAGGAGCCGCCGCCCCCCCGCGCAGGTGAGCGGCCGCCGCGGGCCCCCCACCCCTCCCGCACCTGCTCCCCCTCAGTCCGCGGGACACCTCTTCCCCGCCCCGCCCCAAGTTCCTTAGTCTCCTCGCAGCAGCCCACCTCCCCAGTCTCTCAGTCCAACTTCCCCGCCTCGGACCCAGCCCCACAGCCCTGGGACTTCTCCACCGTTTCCTCCCCGGCCCCCTCCCCTGGAGCACCCCCTTCCTGCTCTCAGCCTCCCCGACCCGGGCTCAGGCCCCACCGGAGCAGTAGGGCGCGCCCTGCCCCCTGCCCGGCTGAACGTGTGCGGAGGGCCTGGGAAGCGGCCCCATTTCTGTGAGGGCAGGCGGCGGAGGGAGGGGACACAAAGGCCCGGCCGGCCGGTCACAATTAGCGGTGTTGTGATGGAGGTTAGCTCAGGGCCTGCGGGCGGCCGAGGAGGGGCCGGTGAGGGGCCGGTGAGGCTGGCTCAGCGCTGGCGCTTGCTGTTTGGGAGGGACAGGAGGGCTTGACAGATGGAGAGTGGGAAGAAGGGCCTTCCGGGTGGAAGGAGCAGCACGTGCAAGTCTATGAAGGTGGGGGCCCGGGACTGGTCGGCAGAAGTGTGGGGAGGGGGAGGACCTTGGTGCCGCTGCCTGTCCAGGCCCTTGAATGTGACCTCCGGGTTAGGGTCCTTTCTTGTGCGCTCCTGTACACCCCACTGTCTTCGCAGAGGCCACAGAGGCGACAGGAACACCGGCCTGAAAGTCAAGAGGTTTCTGCAAGGGAAGCTGTGTTAGGTGTGGTGCGGGGTTCAGAGTTGTAAAGAAACTTGAGTGGGGTGTAGACTGGTGCTGACGTCAGGGCTCTTCTCATTCGGTGGCTCTGGGGATTCAGCGGACTGTCTGGAAGCCTGTAGCAGAACGCAAGGCAGTAGCTTTGACAATGATTACTAGGTTTGGGATTACCTATTGCAGTGGTCCTCAGGGACGATTGTGTCCCCCAGGGGACGTTTGGCGATGGCAGGAGTCGGCGGTGGTTACAACGAGGGGGGTGGTCCCGGTTACCCGGTGGGTAGAAGCCACGGATGCTGCTCGCCATCACCCAGTGCACAGGACAGCGCCCCGCCCCCCCCCCCCACAGGAGGATCTTCCAGCCCCGAATGTCCTTAGTGCTTTGGGGGAGAAACCCTGCTGTCTTGCTTGGGCATCGTGTAGTTTTTTGTCTTATCTGCCCTATTGCCACCCGTCAGCGGCTGTGTGTTCCAAGCTGTGTATTTTGATTTACTTTCGTGTTTTGGGTGATTTTTGTTGGGTCCCCTACTGTTTTTCTGCATCAGAGGAGAACCTGCTGGTTCCCCCCCCCTCCCCCCAACACCAACACTTTTTTCCCGGATCTGTGGGAAGTGACTTTAGCAGGTCACTTTCCCCTTCTGGATTTCGGTTTTTTATTAAATCAACAAGTGTTTCTAGCTGTTGGTCTGGCCTTCTGCAGAGGGAGGCAGGTGACAAGAGAGGCGAATCCTGTCACAGAGCGCTCAGACGCTGTCATAGGGTGACCACGGAAGCTGTGGAAGCGTGGAGCAGGCCGCTAACGCAGTCAGGGGAGGCTTCCTGGAGGAAGTGGTGTCTGTGCTGAAGCCTGAAGGACCCAGGAGGAGCTATTCAGGCTCCGAGAGCTGGAGGGGAGGCAGAGGGAGCAGCCAGCCAGGGCAGAGGCGAGGGTGCCTCCGAGCAGTCAGGTGTGGCGGGAGTGTTGAGCGCCATGCGGGTTGCCGCAAGAGATGAGGTGAGAGAGGCCTGGGAGCTCTGGTGAGAAAGAGGGCCTTCCTGGCATCCCTGGCTCACCAGCTCTCTAGGGCAGGCTCAGCACGTGGGGAGTGGGGACACGCCCTCCTTTCCAGGCCAGAGCTCGGTGTTCTCTTTGAACACTGTTTTATGGGTTTTTCCGTGGGAGGTGCGGTCCTCTAGTCACTGTGAGGTGTCTCCCAAGTGAGGAGACTGAGGCTCGGTGCTGGTAGGACCTGGTCCAAGGCCACAGGGATTAAATTGGGAGAGGCAGGATTGGAGCCTAGGCTTTTCTGACTTTGGATCACCCTGGAACACCGAGTCTGCTCCTCCTTGTGTTCCAAGTGCTATTTCAGAGTCTGTTCTTTTCTTTTCCTCTTGGGAACCCGTAACTGATCCAGGAGATGGTCCTGAATGTGAGCTCTCAGTCCCCTCGGTCCTTGGCCTGGGGTCTACATTCTGTTTCCTAATTATTCTATCCCCGGGGTTGGACCAGAGTGGCCACCTCCCCCGGGAGACCGTGCTCTGGGCTGTCCCCTCACTGGGGATCCCTCCCAGGCTTTCCCAAGCCGTGGGAAAGTCCCAGCTCATCGTCCTCTCTGGCTCTGGCCGGGCCCGCCCCTCGTCCCACATGGGTGTCCTGCTGCCCACCCTGCTACATCTGTGCTGGGCCCTGCATCCAGCACTCACACATGGGGTCCTCCTCAGAGGTCATGGGGTCGCCATTACTGTTATCCTGTCCTTGGAATCCAAGTTCCCTGCCCCTTTTCCAGACTTGGCAGAGAACTGACGGCTGGGGGGACTTGAGGGAGGTTGTCTCACCGTCCTTGGGCCTGTGGAGCCCTGCAAGAGGCTGGGGCTGGCCTTTTGGTAGTGGGTTCTCTCCCTTCGTAGGGCTCACGTAGCCCGGGTCTCCTCACAGCAGCCTGTGGGCCTGTGATGGCTGAGGGTGGCAGCTCAGGCCTCCCAGAGGCCTCTGTGCCCTTGACCTCCACTTCCGGGTGCTTCGGGGCCAGGGCAGGCAAGGAAAGGTGGAAGACGAAGGACCTGCCCATGGGCTCCCTGGCAGGCAGAGCTGTGTCTGGACAGATAGAGGCGGTGGTTGCGGCTGCACCGGGAGCTGCCCCCAGGCCCTGCCGGAGCCAGGGCAGGGGCCGGCAGGCTCTTGAAAGGGCAGCTGGTGTCAGAGCCTAACAGCGACCCAGCAGAGCAAGAAACCGGAGGTGATGGTGCCAGGCTGGTGGAGGGAGAGGTCGTTCTCGTGTTTAATGGCTTCCTTTCTCGCTTACGGTTTCCCCTTCTTCCGTTTGCAGCCAGAGTCAGGGTTTTCAAACTGCCGCTGAGAGTCAGTGCTAGTCACTTCCGCTTTCTTGAGGGTTGCTCAAAGTTGCACGGGTGGGGGTGGGGGTGGCACCTGCCAGTGTCTGAATGACCTGGGTCGCCCAGGCAGATCGGGGGGGGCAGTCTTTCTCCAGGTTCTCTGTGTTTAGGGCTGTCAACCCCGGGTTCGTGGCCAGCTCCTTCCCTCCTGCTAGGGGTGTCTGGGCTTCCACACGGTCAGGGACCCCTGCCTGAGCTGGTGGTCTTGACAGCGTGGCCCCATTTCACAGATGGGGATGCCAAGTGCTGGGTTCACCCCGTTAGAGAGTGAGAATGCAACCCCCTCTCCTGTCGGTCCTATTCCCAGGGCTTCCAGCAAGTTCTGCTAAGTGGGAAGATGGGGTTGGCCGTCAGCACTTGAGAGTGTGTGTGTTTAGTTCTCACGTATCTGCATCTCTGTTCTGTGCAGAGCTTGCAAAGTGATGTTTGTAGGGTGCCCACCACCACTTGCTTGCATCTGGACCTTGCAGGCTCCTCTGATTTTTGGAGGAGCCACCTGAGGGAGAGTTTAAGGGGCTGCCTGGGTCTGAGTACCCTGGACCACCCAGCACCCTCCTGTCTTACTCTGAGTGGCCCCACCCATCACCCCCCCCCACACCAGTTCTCTGGAAAGCCCGCTTGGGGAAGGAAGCCCTACCTGCCGTACCAAGCGGACCTGCTGTGGAGGTTTGGGGGTGGTCCCTGGAGCCCGGGCCCTCTAACTAGGTGCTTTGGAAGCGGGCGGGTCAAGAAGGTCCACCTGTAGGCAGGAGAGCAGGGCAGGCGAGTCCTGCTTCTGCCTCTCGGTGGCCTTGGCTCCGTCCCCGGGGCTGTCGAGTGGGAATCATGATCACGCTTCACCTCCTTGTCTCGGCGTGGAGACAGGGTGCCCGTGTGGGTGCACAGGGTTTCAGGAGACATGGGCTGGGCCCTGTCCCCACCCTGCCCCTCAGCTGTGGGGGCCCCCCTCCCCCACTTAGCTCAGGGACACTGACAGGGAGGGCGGGGGAGGGGAACCTAGGCACACTTTCTGTGCCTCTGCTCTTCTGGTAGGAGGCTGCTGTCTTGTCTTGTAGGAGAGCTCCCGGTGACTTGGACACACAACAAGGCCTGGGCCCGGCCCTGTCACTGCAGCCTTGGGCAACTGTGGTTGTGTTTTTGGTCATGGTTTTTGTTGAGATGTAATTTATATGTTCTGTGATTCATCTGCTTAAAGTGCACAAGTCAGTGGTTTCTGGTATATTCAGAACTGTGCGGCCGTCACCGTAGTGGGTTTTTTTCACTGAGGCATAATTAAGAAAAACGTGGACAATCAATTTCAGAACTTTTGGTGGTTTTTATTTTGTTTTTTAAAAGATTTTATTTATTTATTTGACAGAGAGAGACACAGTGAGAGAGGGAACACAAGCAGGGGGAGTGGGAGAAGGAGAAGCAGGCTTCCTGCGGAGCAGGGAGCCCAATGCGGGGCTCGATCCCAGGACCCTGGGACCATGACCTGAGCCGAAGGCAGACGCTTAACGACTGAGCCACCCAGGCGCCCTGGTTGTTTTTATTTTAAACATGCTTTTCCCAGAAGAAAATCCCTTACCTGTTAGCAGGCATTCCCCCCCCACCCCCCGCCCCGGCTTCCCCAGCTCCTGCTTTTGTCTATGGATTTGCGTCTTCCGGACGTTTCTTGTAAATGGAGTCCTGCAACATGTGGTCCTTGGTGACTGGCTTCGTTCACTCTGGCCTCTGGCCTCCTCGTCGGGCATGAAAGTGTCCTATGTGGTAAGAGGTGGAGTGCTCACCCCACAGAGCTCCTTGCGGCCCTGGGTGGTGGCTGCCCCTTGAGGCGGTTCTGGTCCCAGCTTCCTGTAGCTCAGGACATGTGCCTGCGCAGGCCACCAGTGCCGTGGGGTGGACCTTCGTTTTCTCACCTGTGGCATGAGCCCTGTCACGGCCTTGTCATCAAGGGAGGGAGGACGTCCATTAGCTGTGGAAGGGTTCCTGGAGAAGAGCTGAGAGCTGGGCAAAAGGAGGGAGTAGCCGGCTTGCAAAGGAAGGTTGCTGAGCACCTCAGGGTTGGGGGGATGATGTTTGCTTCCAGTGCTCCCTGCCGCCCCCCCCCCCGCCCGCATGACGGTGGCTTAAAGATGGCTGGGGGGGTGACTGGGTGGGAGCGATGTCCTGGCAGGAATGTCACCTGCTGCCTCAGAGGGGCAGGGGCCTGATAACACGTGGTGGTGCAGAGGGGGTGCCTTTCTGCTGGTGTTTCCGAGCAAGAACTGCATATGAGGTTGTCGGCCTAGCAAGGACGGTGGTGCCTGTGTGGACCGTTGTCTGGTCAGGGCACGTGTGCCGTGTACCGGCATACCTGTCGTGTAGGTTGATGGATGTGGGTGGTGGATGGAGGTGGGGCTGCAGGACTGTTTGCCCTGCCCCGCCCCCCTCCCCAGGGTACGTGCTTGGCAGGAGACCCCGAGGAGGAGGAGGAGGAGGAGCCCGATACTGGGACGTCCCGTGCAGGCGAGGCGGCAAGAGCACAGTTTCTGAGAACCCAGGTGTGGTGTACTCTGCAACCAGAAAGGCCAGTGTGTCGGTGCAGGTGAGGACAGCCAGGGCAGGATTTGGAGGCATTTGACTGTGGAGGGAAGCCCCTGGGCGCCTGAGCACAGACCGGACGTGGTCAGGTCCCATCGAAGCCAGCTCTGAATGGAAGCCTGTGCAGTGGAATGCGGAGAGCACAGGGCAGGCCGGAGAGGTGATGGGGCCTGGTCGGGGGGGAGGGCCAAGCAGGTGGAGAGAAGCCCTGAGATTTCCAGTGGCTGAGTGATGGGCGGGGGTGCTGGCACAGCAGGGCTGTGGGGGCCCGGGCCCAGAACCCTGCACAGACCTGGGCCTGGGCGGGCAGCTGCCTTGGTGAGCCTCAGCTTCCTCACCTGTAAGATGGGGGTGGCTGTGAGTGGGCTGAGCTAAGCCGATCCTGAGAGCGCCGTCAGCACTGCGGCCAGCGCCGCGTGTGGCCCTCACGTCTGGCATCACAGTTGAGTGATGCCGGGAGGCCTGGATGCCCAGCGTGGCGCACGCAGGGACCTCCTCAGGAGAGCCCCAGGCTGGGGTGGCGCACCCCAAGATGGCACCGCAGGATGACGTGGGAGGAGCCAGGCTGTAGCTTGCTCGGGGAGGGAGTGGTTCCAGGGGAGGCAGGCCTGTCGAGGGGTCAGGCAGGTGTGCACACCCGGCCGAGTTGGCCGGCAGGCGTGTGACAGTGAACGCCGCGGGAGCTGGAGGTCCAAGTGGAGGCTGGACGGGCCCTGGGGTCTCGAATGTGGAGACCTAAGGAGCCCTTTTGGGCTTTTGGCCAGGAGTGAACATCAGGCACTCCAGTTTGTGTTTCAGGAAAGTGGCCAACGTGGGTGAAGGGCGTAGGGCTAAGGAGCGAGTCCCTGTGGGACGGGGCGTGGAAGCCTGTGGGATGTCCCCACTGCCCCCACTGGCGCCTGGCGCTTGCTGCTGTCTTCCCTGACCGTGAGTCCTCCACTCCACCTGCAGCCGTCCCGGGCCAGGATCCGGGGTCACTGCAGATTTAGAGCCACTTGCTCCCGGTCACGGAGGGTGGGGAGGACGCTGGGAGGTGAGTTTCTCCTGCGGAGGCTGGGAGGGAGGGCTGGTGCTGGAGGCGGTGTCTTGAAGGGACCGAGGCTCAGAAGGCCAGTCCTGCCCGAGGCCACACGTGCCCCGCTCTCCCCTGGCTTTAAGTCCTGGCTGCTTCCTGAGTCAGGCCAGAGCTGTGCTCTGCTCCGGGCTGGTGCTCCTTCTGTGGCTGACGAGTTTTCTGTGGTTGGGGGGGCTGTGGGCAGACAGGGCGAGGGAGGGCATGTAGGAGGGGGACTGCCATCTGTGGGTCTGGGAGGTGCCCGGGGGCCTCTCAGTCTGTCCTCCATGGCTTCTGCCTCCAGTGGTCTCCGCAAGGCAGGTGACCCATGTCAGCTCTGGCCCGCGCCTGTGTGGTGCTGGGAGCCCCCGACTTCCCTTGCAGTGGGGCGGCAACAGCCCCTCCGAGGGGCATGTAGGTGCTCTGCGGGTTGGACGGAGGGAGTGGGAACGAGTGGGCGGGGAGCTTGGTGGCACGCGCAGGGCGGGCCTCGCGCTGGTCTGGACGGGGAGCCTGTAGGCCCCTCAGAGGAGCGGCTGAGGTGCGTGTGCAGAGGGGGCACCTGGTGGTTGCTCGCGGTGTGGTGCTCCTGACGGCAGCGAGCCACCTGTGCTGGGGTGGGTCGGGGCAGCGCCACAGCCGGGCACGCAGGGTCCCAGTGCCAGCTGGGGACCAGGGTGCCGTTCTGCAGGTGCTGCGAGCCAGCCCTGTCCTCCTCCCCAGCGAGTCGCTGACTGTCCTGGTTCCTTTGGGCCCCCATCAGTGGCTCTTCTGAAAGTCCCTCCTCCCCCACTCGTGCTCTTCCTTGTCCAGCCGCTGGGTGGGGGGTTGGGTGTGTCTGTGTGTGTATGCAGCATCCAGGCAACAGCCACAGCCTGGGGACATCTTAGACTTCCCTCTGCCCCTGCCCCACGCCCTGCATGTGGCTTGGCGATTTGCTGGGCTGGACGGCAGCCGCGGGCTGGCGGCCATGGGGCATTTGAATTTGTTCAGTGAGTCCGATGCCGGAGGCTTCCGGAGAACACGGCTCCAGCCCCGCCCCTGGGGGGTCCCTGCCCAGATGGGGGACAGAGGGGGACAGGGTCGCGATGGCTCTGCACAGGGCTCTCCTTTGTGGGGCCTGGGGGCCGAGGGGTGGGCAGGGCAACTGGCCTCTGCTGTGAAGTGACCCCTGGGCTCCAGGGTGGCCTTGCAGGCTGTCACGGTTGTCCAGGTGGTCGGTGGCTGAGGTGGAGAGTGTGGGGCAGGTGGGGCCTGGCCCAGCGTGTGACTGGCAGCCCTGCCCTCAGGGCGCCATGTTTTGGAAGTTTGACCTGCACACGAGCTCACACCTGGACACGCTTCTGGAGCGGGAGGACCTGAGCCTGCCTGAGCTCCTGGACGAGGAGGACGTGCTGCAGGAGTGCAAGGTCGTCAACCGGAAGCTACTGGACTTCCTGCTGCAGCCGCCGCACCTGCAGGCCATGGTGGCCTGGGTCACCCAGGAGCCGCCGGCCAGTGGCGAGGAGCGGCTGCGCTACAAGTGAGCCCCTGCCCGTGCGGCCCCCAGGGCTGCCCCGGCCTGCTGCTCCTGGTGCCTCCCGGGTGGGCTGCTGGGCCTGTGCGGGTGCGGGAGGGGTGGCGAGGGATGAAGTGGGGTTTCAGGGAAGATGGGCTGGAGCCCTGGGGGCCGTGGGAGCCACGTGTGGGTTCCAACAGGAGGGCGTGGGGGGCGGTGGGGATGGGCAGACTGCTTCCCTGGCATCGGCCACTCTTTCTGGATGTGAAACCCCCCCGCCCCCCGCCAGGTACCCCAGTGTGGCCTGTGAGATCCTGACCTCGGACGTGCCCCAGATCAACGACGCGCTGGGCGCCGACGAGTCCCTCCTGAACCGGCTCTACGGCTTCCTGCAGAGTAGAAGCAGCCTCAACCCCCTGCTGGCCAGCTTCTTCAGCAAGGTCATGGGCGTCCTTATCAACCGCAAGACGGACCAGGTACCGCGGACCCAGGGCCCCGGCCAGCGTGCGGCAGGTGAGCAGGCGGGCACAGGCCCCGGGCCCTGCCGTGTGACGTGTGCTGTTCCTCCGGTCCCTAGCTCGTGTCCTTCCTGCGGAAGAAGGACGACTTCGTGGACCTGCTGCTGCAGCATATCGGCACCTCGGCCATCATGGACCTCCTGCTGCGTCTCCTCACCTGCGTGGAGCGTCCACAGCTGAGGCAGGACGTGGTCAATGTGAGTGTGGGGCTCTGGGGGGGGGGCGGGGAGGGCCAGAGGAGGGCACTGGGCTGGGGGGGTTGCCGGGGAGGGCGGGCCGTGAGTGGACGCCCACTTTCCTTCTGACCCACAGTGGCTCAACGAGGAGAAGATTGTGCAGCGGCTTATAGAACAGATCCACCCGTCAAAGGATGACAATGTGAGTGTCCTCTCCTCGTCTGCTCGCCCAGCTGTGGCCCGGCCTCTTACCCCACGTCTGTGCCTCACGCCAGCCTCGCCCCTCCTCCCTCTCTGGAAGGTGAACTGTCGAGGAAGGAAGCGATTGGTGCTGTGTGCTTGTGCTTCCAGTCTCTCACTGACAGGGTTCCTGCCGCCCCCGGGGAGCGTGTCTCATGAGCCAGGAGCTTGGCCCAGCATCTCCTGATGGGTCAGGGGTCTGGCCAGGGTCTCCAGACTCCAGGGTCCAGCCTGGCCCCCTCGATGCCAGCCTTCCAGGGGCCCCTTCCCCGCTCCCCACTCCTCTGCTGACTGGGACCTGGCAGCTTCTTGAGTCTCTTGTCGCTGGGCACACCCTGCTTGTCCTTGAGCGAATCCATGCAGAGGCCCCACATTCTCGCTGCAGCCCAGGGGGGGGTCTCACGTTGTCTTCCCGGGCTGCTGGCTTACAGAGCAGAGCTCCACAGGTGCGGGTAGGTACCCCAGGCATGCGGCCAGCAGGGTGAGGACCACGCAGGCCCAGGGGCAGGGGGCCGGGGGCGTCTGTGACGGGCTCTGAAGTGCGGCCTGTGGGGTCTGGACGGGTCTGGGGTCTGTGCAGGTGGGCGCTGGTAGCTTCCTGTTGGGTTAGACTCAGAGTCCTCAAATTTTTTTTTGGTTTGTCCTGGAACAGCTTTATCCAGAGAGGGATTACGTACCATATGGGTCAGCTGTTTAAAGTATAGTACACAGCGGCTTTTAGCGTATTAACAAAATTGTCCCGTTATTACCACGTGGATCTGGCAGTATTTTTTCATTTCTCCAAAAAGGAAAGCCCGTGCCCTCTAGCTGTCACTGTTGCGCTCGTGGTCCCCCTCTCACCCCAGGCAGTGTTCTGTCTCTGGGCTTGCGTTTGCTGGACTTGTCGCGTGAACACGGTCACACTGTACCTGGTCTGCGTGTCTGGCCTCTGCCTCAGCACCAAGTGTCCAGGTTCATCCGTGTGCTTCTCCCGTCCTGAGGCTGAGGGGTGTTCACAGTAGCTTGTCTGCTCACCAGTCGGTGGACATTGGGGTCGTTCCCTGCCCCGGGGCTGCAGCAGATGGTTTGGGGTGTGGGATGTCCCCTTCTGCAGAAAGTTTTCCGGGGTCTCTCAGTCCCTCGCCGTGTCCTCTTCCAGTGTGTAGTACCTCGTGTCCATTCCCTCGGCCCCTGTGTCCCTGTCTGTGTGATCCTCCTCTCGGTCCTGAGGGCCAGGAGTCAGCTCCCGAGGAGTCTTGAAAGCAGGACGCAGGGGGCCCGGCAGCTGGGCTGGTGTCCTCAGCTCTCTCTTTGCCTGCGCAGCAACATTCCAATGCGTCCCAGTCCCTGTGCGACATCATCCGCCTGAGCCGGGAGCAGATGATCCAGGCCCAGGACAGCCCGGAGCCCGACCAGCTGTTGGCCACCCTGGAGAAGTGGGTTTGCGGTTCCGAGACCCAGGGCGGGAAGCTGTCCAGGGCCCTTCAGCGTGGCCCCCATGCCGACCCCACCCTTATCCCTTGTCCTGACCCCTGTCCCAGGCAGGAGACGATCGAGCAGCTCCTGAGCAACATGCTGGAGGGGGAGCAGAGCCAGTCTGTCATTGTGAGCGGGATCCAGGTGCTGCTGACCCTGCTGGAGCCCAGAAGGCCAAGGTGAGGGGGGCCAGCCTCCCCGGGTGGCCGTGCCATCCCTTGGAGCCCTGCCCTTCCATTCAGAGGTGAAGGTCTTGGGGACACAGCCTCTGCAAGTGGTCTCCCGTCTTGGTAGTCACTCGGTCCTGGGAGAGGAGTCCTCCGTTCCTGTCTGAGGCTACGTGTACCGCCTGTAGCTTTGAGCTGGCTGAATCCAGGGCCCTTCAGGCCAGTGGTTGCCTGAAACGATGGGGCCTTGTGCTGCACTTCGCCGGGGAGCAGCGTGTCCCTTCCTGATGTGCCGCACGAGGGCGTATCAGGCACACAGGCCCTGCCTCCTGTCCCTTCCTGCAGGTCCGAGTCTGTGACCGTGAACAACTTCTTTAGCAGCGTGGATGGGCAGCTGGAGCTCCTGGCCCAGGCGACCCTGGACAGCACCACGTCCAGTGTGGGCGTCCTGCACGCCCTGCGCCCACGGCTCGGCCATTTCCACCAGCTCCTGCTTGAGCCCCCCGAGGTGGGCCGGGAGGCCAAGGAGGCAGGGCGTCGGGGAGGGTGGGCCCTGGTTCTGGGCAGTGCTGAGCCATCCTTGTGCCCATAGCTGGAGCCGCTGAGAACTACGTGGGGCAGCCTGGCCCCGCCGCTGGGCAACACCCGGCTGCATGTGGTCAAGCTGCTGGCCAGCGCTCTGAGCGCCAACGATGCGGCCCTGACCCAGGAGCTCCTGGCGCTGGACGTGCCCAACACCATGCTGGTGCGGAGGGGTGGGGGGTGCAGGGGGCCCTGGGTCGGGAGGGGGGGTGGGGAGGGTCGGGGGCACAGGGCGGCCCCTGGGCGGGGTGCAGAGGGTGGGGTGGGTGGAGGGGCCTCTCGGTGCCAGCCTGCGGTGCCCCCACCCAGGACCTCTTCTTCCACTATATGTTCAACAACTTCCTGCATGCCCAAGTGGAGTTGTGTGTGAGTGCCCTGCTGAGCACTGCACCTCCCTCCGACAGTGGCCTCGAGATACCTGCCCCGAGCCCCGTCCTGAAACACGTGAGCTGGGGCTCCCGGGCCCCCCTCTCTGTCCCCGGGTCCCCCTGCCGGTGCTTGCTAGGCAGCTTCATGGGCGGGGGGCCAGGGGCTCAGCCTTGTCCTTAGGTCCGTCTGGGCGAGACGGAGGGTGCTGAGCAGGTAGTGCAGGTAGGGGCGCCCGTGGGAGGCAGTGGGTGTCTTTTGGGGTGATGGCCGCCAGGCCAGGGGAGGTGTCTCCTGGGACGGAGCCCAGGGCCTCGGGGAGGAGCTGTTGAGCAGCACGGCCGCTTGGGCATCCGTGGCCGTCACTGGTGGGAGGCAGGGCGGGGGGGATGACTTCAGGTTTGCCATGTACGTGGAGGGTGGAGGTAGAGTGGGAGCCGAACAGACCGAGCGGCTCGGGGGACATGTCCCGGGGGTGCAGGGGAGGCGCAGGCAGTCTGGGAGGGGCGTGCCCGGCCCTGCCCCCATGGCCCCTCTGCTCCCTCAGCTGCTGCAGCAGTGCCGCCTGGTGGAGCGCATCCTGACCTCCTGGGAGGAGAACGACCTCGTGCAGTGAGCACCCGGGACCACCTGTGCGGGGGGGGGGGGGGGGCGGGCGGGCCCGGGCGCACGGGCCGATCCAGCTGTGGCCTCTGATGTCACCCAGGTCTGCCGGGGGCCCCCGCAAAGGCTACATGGGCCACCTGACGAGACTGGCCAACGCTCTGGTGCAGAACACGGAGAAGGGGCCCAACGCCGAGCAGCTGGGGCGGCTGCTGAAGGGTGAGGGCCGGGGCTGCGGGCGGGGGCGGGGGGGGCAGGGGTACAGGCCGGGGGCCCTCACGCCCTGTCTCCTCCCCACTGAGCAGAGCTGCCGGGAGAGCAGCAGGAGCGGTGGGAGGCCTTCGTGTCTGGCCCCTTGGCGGAGACCAACAAGAAGAACGCTGTGGATCTGGTGAGGCACCTCCGCCCCGTGTCGTGGGTCTCTCCTCTGCCCGCACCCCCCGCAGCCGCGCCCTGCCCATCCCGGCCCTCACCCCCGCCCACCCCCCGCCCCAGGTGAGCACCCACCACCTGCACTCCTCCAGCGACGACGAGGACGACCGGCTCAAGGAGTTCAACTTCCCTGAGGAGGCGGTGCTGCAGCAGGTGGGCTGCGCGGCAGGCGCCGGGGGCCTGCCCTGCCCTGGCGTCCCGGCCCCCCCGCCCCTGACCGCCGCCCCTCTGCAGGCCTTCATGGACTTCCAGATGCAGCGCATGACCTCGGCCTTCATCGACCACTTCGGCTTCAATGACGAGGAGTTTGGGGAGCAGGAGGAGAGTGTGAAGTGAGTGCGGCCTTCCGTGGGAGGGCGGGGGCTCAGGAGACAGCAGGTCGGAGCGCTACCCTTGCCGGCCCTATGGCTTCTCCTGCCCGCCTTGCCGTGTCCTCCCTGCTCCCACCCGTGGCTTGCCTGCCGGTCCTAGCGTCTGCGCTCAGCCTGGACAAGGGCCAGTCCTGGCTCCTCTGTCCCCTCCTTGCGGGGCAGTGGCTGAGGGCCTGGAGAGCGAGGTGGCCAGGTCGTGGTCTGGGAGGGAGCTCACGCTGCGAGGCCGCTAAGGGGAGAGCCATCAGGGCAGAAGATGTTACTCTGAAGGAGTTTGTGACGGTCTGAGGGAAAGTGGAAGGACCACCGGAGGGCAGGACAGGAGTGTTCCTAGTCTGCTGGTGCAGGAAGCCGGTGGAGAGAGGTCCAGCCGGCCCCTTAGGGGCGGGCTGGGGCCCGGGGACAGGCAAGAGGGGCCTCAGCTGCCCCTGGGGTCCCCGTCTGCTTCATCAAAGTGCTTGTGCGCCGGGCACAGCTCAGGCATCTTCGCATCGTGTGCCCACCATCATCCTGTGCTCAGGGCTGAGGAGCCTCTTCACAGCTGGGGAGACTGAGGCATGTGCTGGTCGGGGTGGGAGCAGGGTCACCCCTGTGTAGCTCAGCGGGAGGGCACCGTGACGGGCTGTGGTCAGCTGCTGGCCTGTCCTGCTGGGTAGAAGTCTCTTTGGGGGCAGACGTGAGATCTGTGTCTGCTGCCCTGCCCAGCCCCGTGCCCGGTGCCTGGAAGGTCGGGGCCCTAGAGCAGACCCCGCCCAAGGGAGGACGGAGCGACCGCTCGATGGATGGTGTTGGCACAGCCAGCTGTCCTTGTGGACGAAGCGGTGTTGTCTCCTCCATCACATAACTCCCGGTGGGGTTGAAAACTTTATGAAAACCGTGAAAGCCATGAAGCGTTCTAGAACGGAAAGTAGATGAGTATTTTTATAGCTTCGGGGCTGAAGATACTGCCCCGCAGGACTCGTGTTGCCAGGGTCGGCTGCCCGCCCCGGCCCGTGGGCCGCGCTCGGGCTCTGGCCCCGCTCTGCTCGGCTCTGCGCGTTTTGGCAGGAGAGGTCGAGAGGACGCGGTGCGCGAGCTCGTCTGCACGGCTCAGACGCCGAGGCGGCACTCAGCTTGTTGACTCCCCTTCGTCTGTGGCCCTTTGTGGCCAAGCGTTTCCTGAATTAGACAAATGATAGAACACGGGGACAGAGTGCGGACCCCCATACAGACAGACCGACAGCCCCGGAGGAAAAGTAGGCAAAGGACACGGCTCACAGGCTGTGAAAGGAGTTTGAAGCAGGCTGTTATCAGCAGTTCCTGTCCATAGCTGGCGCAGGAATTGTGCTTTCCGAAAGACAGTGGAGCCGAGGGAGGGGGTGTTGTTGGCCTCAGTGGAAGACTGGGGGACACCCCTGCCCTCGGGGCCTCGAGTCCAGGATCCCAGCTGCAGACTGGGTATCTGGGCTGGGGCGGGCTGTGCGGCCCTGCGCTTGGAGGGGTTTTCGCAGACCAGAGACAGCGTCCGGGTGTGCGGCGCTGCAGGCTCCGCTGGAGACGGGCAGGGTGACGGCCACACCCCGGCCGTGGCCGGCGTCTCCTTCAGTGTTGTTTCTTGGACTTGAAGGCCTGGGGGCCTAGGGCAGTGCAGAACAGAGGCAGGCAGAGGCTGCTGAGCCGTACACGCCTCTGGCTCAATTCCCGGCTGCCGCCCCGATGGGTGAAGGCCCGGTGAGCCCTGAACCCTCGCTCCTGGCAGAGGTGGGCACCTGGATGGTGGTCTTAAGTCCCAACGGCGGCTTGTCCAGGTAGATGCTATCTCTGTCTTAGCGCGGAGAGAACCAGGTTGAGACGTGACGTGCTCTGTGGCCCGCCTGGGGCCACCCCACCGGCTGCGCCGGGCTGAGGCTCCCGTCCGCTCGGGGCATCCGTGGGAGGGCTGGGGCAGGCGGGTGCCCTCGGCTGCCCGCTGCCAGTCGGCAGCTGCGCAGATGGCCGGAGTGGGCGCCGGCGCTGATGTGAGGCCACAGATGAACTGTAGCCAGTAGGTGGACTCGCAGGTGCAGGAGGGTGGGCGGCGAGGGTGCGTCGAGCGGACGCAGGAGAAGCCGGCCATGGGCGCGCCACCTCACCGCCCTGCGCCTCTCTTGTAGCGCGCCTTTCGACAAGACAGCCAACATCACCTTCTCCCTCAACGCCGACGACGAGAACGTGAGTGCTGCCCGTCCCTGGTGGTGCGGGGGGGGGGGGGGCGCTGCAGACGGTGCTGCCCACCCCACCCATCCCCGCACCCCACAGCCCAACGCCAACCTGCTGGAGATCTGCTACAAGGACCGCATCCAGCAGTTTGACGATGAGGACGAGGAGGACGAGGGCCAGGGCTCCGGGGGGTCTGACGAGGAGGACGGCACCTGGCAGGGCGGCCAGCTTGGGGCCAGGGGGGCCTGCCGGGGCCAGCCCCCGGCTGTGCGGTGAGTCTGCGAGCCCTGGTGGTCGGCAGCCCGAGTGGAGGGGGAAAGTGAGGGAGTGTGTGTGTCACTTGGGGGAGTTCAGCTGCGAGGGGCGGAGCCCGACAGCCCGTGTGGGGCCGGGAAGCCGGTGGGTCCCTGTGCGGCCAGCCCAGGTGTGCGTCCGTCCGTCTGTCCCCTCTGCTGTCCCCGGTCAGCTTGCACTCAGGTCTTCCCGTCCGCCCTCTGTGCCTTCGTGCCGGTAACGGGGGGAGCCGGGCTGAGTGTGGGTGAGCTGGCCCCATGGCCACCCACTCAGCGGTCAGGGCCTCTGCCCCCGGGACCCAGGCGTCCGCATCCTCAACCCCCCCCCCGCCCCATGCTGGCACCTGGCCGCTGTGCCCCTGAGGCTGGCGTGAGCCTGAGCTGTTCCACTCGTGAGTCCACTGCCCGGGCACCGGTGTGTGTGTGTCCCATCTGCTGGGTGGCCCAGCCGGTGAGCCGAAGGCCGCGGTTCGCCCTGGGTTCTCTTCCGAGAGCGTGATAGTGCTCATTCTTGTTTTTCACGTCTCGGTCCCGTCTTGAGCTGAGGTCTTGTGTGTGGTGTGAGGTGGGGTCCGGCTTCCCCCTGCAGGTGCAAATGCCGCCGTCCCAGCACCTCTAGTTGGACACACACCAGCCTCTCCCCACCAAGTGCACTTGGTGCCCTGGCTGGAAGTGCTTGGCTGTGCAAGTGCGGCTCGGCTTCTGGCCTCTCTGGGACCCCCCCCCACCCCGGTCTCGACGAGTGTTGTAGTAAGGCTTGAAATTGGGAAGTGAGTCCTCCAACGTGGTCGTCTGCTTGGGCCCCTTGAGAGTCCGTGGGACTGTCCGGATCGGCTGGTTAATTTGAGCAAGGAAGCTGGCTGGGATCGGGAGGGCCTGCCCTGAACCTGTGTCATCAGCCTGGGGGCCTGGGAACCGCGTTCCATCTTCCAGTCCCTGAGCGTGGAACATCTTTCCGTTTACGTAGGTGTTTTTTTTAGAGAATGAGCTTTAGAGAACAAGCTTTGTGCTTCCTTTGTTCAAGTTTTTCCCGTGTTATTTACGCAAGTGGAACTTTGAGCTTTCCCAAGCGTACAGAACTACGGTGGATGTTTGTATGTCGACGTTGGGCCTTGCAGACTCACTCGCCGTAGTTAACGGATTCCTTGGGGTCTCCTGTCTGTAGTCAAGCCATCTGCGAACAGGGTTTCACTCCTTCTGTTCTGGTCCGGAGGCTCTTCACGTCGTGTTTTTGTGTCCTTGCGGTCCCGAGCAGAGGAGGCCGCCGTCTTGCTCCTGACCTTGGGGGGACAGCGGGTCTTCCAGCACTGAAGTGATGTGGGTTGTGGGTTGGGGAGATGCCCCTTGTCTCCCCCCCCCGTCTGCCGAGTGTCCTTGTGAGTCGTCCACCGTGTTCAGCGGCGTGCACGCGGGTGCCTCTCCCGTCAGTGACCGTAGAGACAGCGGCCGGCGGCCGGCTCCCAGCAGCCACGTGGTTCGCTCAGCCGCTCCCCGCTTGGTGGGCGTGTGGGCCACACGGACCGTCCCCACGGGCTCGGGCCGCGCGTTGGTCCACGTTCGGGCCATGGGGGTGGAGCGCCTGCTTGCGCTGGACGTGGCCCTCGGGCCACCCGCAGCGGAGGGCGCGCGTCGGGTGGAGGGTCGGGTCGGCCCTCGGCCCTCCGGAGGGGCCTCCGGGGCGGGGCGGGGCTCCCACCTGCCCCCCCCCACAGCCTGGCCCCGGCAGGCCCCCCCCCCGCCCCTCCCATCCCTGGGTCGGAACAGCCGCTGACGGCGGTTCCCGGCGGTTGGGGCGGCTCCCGGCAGGAGCGGCGGCAGCACAGACAGCGAGGACGAGGACGAGGACGAGGAGGTCGGCGACGGCCGCGCGGCTGGTGCGGGGGGCGGGCCCCGCTCTCAGCCTGGCCCCGGCCCGCAGCCTCCGGGTGGGTGAAGGCGCAGGGCGGGCCGCGGCGGGGTGCACGCGGGCCGCCTGCCCCCGTGCTCACCCCCCGCCCCCGCCCCCGCCAGGCCCCAACTGGACAGCCACCTTTGACCCAGTGCCTACAGACGCCCTGACCGGCCCCCGAGACTCTGGGGAGAAGGAGCCGAGCCCCGGGCTCCTCGCCCCACAGGGGTCCCTCGGCGTACCCCGGGGCCTCCCCGCCCTGAGCCCGGCCGGCCCCGCGGCCTGCACCGCCCTGCAGCTCAGGTGAGGCCGCTGGCGGGTGGGCGCGCCCGGGCCCGGGTCCCTCGGGCTGGAGCGCGGACCCCAGCTGGCCCTCGGGGCTGCCTCTCTCCCCCCAGGTCTCAGGACCCCGCATCCCCGTCAGCACCTCAGGAAGCCACAGACGGCCCCCAAGTAGCAGAGCCCTCGGGTGAGTGCTGCCACCCAGCCCCGCCCGCTCGCCCCGTTGCGCGCCCTGGCCTTGTGCGCCTGCCGTGCGCCCGAAGAAGGCGCCAGGCCAGCACCGCGCTCGCTGAGCCTCATGTCTCCTGGCCTCTCTCTGCACAGCCCCTTGCCAGGCTTTGGTCGGCATCGGGGACCTCCAGGCCACACTCAGAGGGACGCGCTCCAACCCCAGCTCCTTGGACAGGTGACCGGCTGGGGAGCAGCTGCTCTAGGGGATCCCTGGGTGGGCCCGGCCTCACAGCTGCTCTGTGGGGCCCTGGTGGGACCCCCCCCCTCCCAGGTCTGCACCACCGCCCCGGCACTTCGTGGCAGCCGAGGGTCCGGTGCCGTGCCCACGCCCCCCACGTGTGGGTTGCCCTGGAGGCCCCTGGAGCTCAGGGCTCCCTGCTCAGCCCCAGGGGCGGAAAGGCTTCCAGAAGTGGGCAGGCGGTATGTGGAGCCCGCCTCCCAGCCCACCATGAGCTCCTCCTGTCTGCGGTGGCTCCCAGGGTCTCTGATGGGACGGACCGTCCTGGGCCGAGCGCTCTTCCCTGCGGGCACGAAGGGGCTTAGGGGTGAGGAGGGTGTCGGTGCTGATAACCCTGCCGATACCTCTGCACACACCCCCCACCCCCGCAGTGCAACCAGAGACCCTGCTACCTCTGTCCCAGCCTCCGGGGCCTGCCAGCACCCGCGGACCACAGAGGGGGAGAAGAGCCCAGAGCCCTCGGGGCTCCCCCAGAGCCAGAGGTGAGTGCAGGGCGGCCTTCCAGGGCAGCTGGTGTCCTGTGGCGGAGGCCCTGAACTTTCTGTGTCCCTCTCCCCTGACAGTGCCCAGGCCCTCGAGCCGCCTCCGATGCCCAACGGCTCTGCCCCGGGAGGGCCAGCACCCCTGGGCTCTCAGTGAGTGGCAAGGGCTGGGTGGGTAGCAGGTAGGCTGGGGCCTGGGCAGGTGGGGCGCCTCAGGGCAGCAGGTTCCTCACATGAGTCTCCCTCTTGGTTCCCAGGTAACTGCCTGGTCTCGGTGGTGGCGGCTACATCCTCCATACTCCACGTGGACCCTGCCCGAGTGGGGGCAGGGCGGGTCCCACGATGGCCCTGTTGCCCCGTCACCCCATCCCCACCCTGTCTGCCCCCACGTTCTCTCCTCTGGACTCCCAGGAGCCAGGTGCCAGGGAGTCAGGCCCCTACCCACCCCCATTTGCACTGAGAAAAGAAATTATGGAGTTTTGTCTCCTAGAATAAAGAAACAGAATTGAATAGAGAGAAAGGAGAGAGAGAGACCTATATTATATATTATATATATAGAGAGAGAGCGGGTGGGTGGAGAGCCAGGAGGAGGCCCAGCCGGGCAGGCAGCAGGTGGGACCTTCATCCCATCTCGGTGGGGGCTGTGTTGGGGTTCCAAGGTCATTGTCTGCCCTCCCCTCCCACCATGCCCCCAGCCTCCGGTGCAGATGCCCACACCCACACTCGGCCCAGGCCCACCTCCGGGGAGGGCTCGAGTGCGGGCCGTGCCTTTGCCCAAACCCTTGCCCTGGACCCTGCACTTTGACCCAGGCTGGGAGATAAAGGATCCTCTGCCTGGCCCTGTTGGCTCTATGGGAGCTGGCGGTCCCCGTCCAAGGGGGTCTCCCAGGTGACATTCCCATGGGGCCCCGATGCACTCACTGAGACCGCCCCCCAACCCCCCGCACTTCCCACGGACCCCGGGGTGGGGGGTTGGCAAGGGTCCGGCTGGGGTCCCCTTCCCATGCCCAAGGATCTGGGGTCCAGCCTAGCTGCCAAGTGACCTTGTCCCAGCTCCCTCTCCCCAGGCTGGTGTGAGTGTGCGTGTGTTCGTGCCGAGCTTCTATTTCATATTGCAAATATAAATAAATAAAGACCGTTTAAGATTCCTGCTCAGACTGTGAGTTCTGGGTCCTGGGGCTGGGCGCCTGAGCTGTCCCTGCATCATGGCCTCCTCGGGCCTTGAGTTCTGGGTCCTGGGGCTGGGCGCCTGAGCCCTGCATCATGGCCTCCTCGGACCTTGAGTTCTGGGATGTGGGGCTGGGCGCCTGAGCTGTCCCTGCATCATGGCCTCCTCGGGCCTTGAGTTCTGGGTCCTGGGGCTGGGCGCCTGAGCTGTCCCTGCATCATGGCCTCCTCGGACCTTGAGTTCTGGGATGTGGGGCTGGGCGCCTGAGCTGTCCCTGCATCATGGATTCCTCGGGCCTTGAGTTCTGGGTCCTGGGGCTGGGCGCCTGAGCTGTCCCTGCACCCTGACTCCTTCGACCTTGACATCTGGGACCTGGGGCTGGGGGCCTGTGCTGTCCCTGCACCCTGGCCTCCTCGGCCTTTGAGATCTGGGACCTGAGGCTGGAGGCCTGAGATTTCCCTTCACCCTGGCCTACCCCGGTCTTAAGTTCTTGGACCTGGGACTGGGGCCTGAGCTGTCCTTGCACCCTGGCTTTGGGCCTTGCGTTCTGGGACCTGGGGCTGGGTCCTGAGCTGCCCCTGCACCTGGGCCTCGGGCCATGGGACTGGGAAGTGGGGCTAGGGCCCTGACTTGTCCTTACACCATGGACTCCTCGGTCCTTGAGTTCTGGTTCGTGGGAGTGTGGGCCTGAGGTATCCGTGCACCCTGGCCTCAGGCCTTGAGTTCTGGGACCTGGGGCTGGGGGCTGAGCTGTCCCTGTACCATGGCCTCGGGCCTTGAAGTCTAGAACGTGGGGGCTGGGGGCTAGATCTGTCTCTCCATGCTGGCCTCTTCAGGCCTTGATTTCTGGGTTGTGGGGCTAGGGTCAGCTCTCCCTGCACTCTGGCCTCCTCCAACCTTGATTTCTGGGACCTGGGGATGGGTACCTGAGCTGTCCCTGCACCCTGGACTCCTCAGGTCTTTAGTTCTGGGACCTGGGTCTGGGTGCCTGAGCTGTCCCTGCACCCTGGCTTCCTGGGGCCTTGTGTTCTTCGACATGGAGCTGGGGTTTGAGCTGTGCCTGTACCCTGGCTTCGGGCTTTGAATAATGGGATCTGGGGATGGGAATCTGAGCTGCCCATGCACTGTGGCCTTGGGCCATCAGTTCTGGGACCTGGTGTGGGGACCTGAGCTGTCCTTGCACCCTGGACTCCTCAGGCCTTGAATTCTGGGGCATGGCCCAGAGGCCTGAGTTGTCCCTGCACCCCGGCCTCGGACCTTGAGTTCTGGGACCTGGGCCTGGGATCTGAGCTGTCCCTGCACCCTGGCTTCACGCCTTGATATCCAGGACCTGGGGCTGGGGACCTGAGCTGCTCTTGCACCCTGGCCTGGGTCCTTGAGTTCTGGGACAAGGGTCAGGGGGCCCTAGCTGCCGATGCACTGGGGCCTCGGGCCTTGAGTTCTGGGACATGGGGCTGGGGTCCCGAGCTGTCCCTGCACCCTGGCCTCCTTGGGCCTTGAGTTCTGGGACCTGGGGCTGGGGACCTCAGCTGCCCATGCACCCTTTCCTGCGTCCTTGAGTTCCGGGACTTGGGTCTGGGGGCCCTAGCTGCCCATGCACCGTGGCCTCAGGCCTTCAGTTCTGGGACCTGGGGCTGGGGGCCTGAGCTGTCCCTGCTCCCTGGCCTTGGGCTTTGAGTTCTGGGACGTGGGGCTGGGGGCCTGAGCTGTCCCTGCACCCTGGCCTCGGGGCCCCTCAGCCCCTGTGTGTGGCCCTCAGAGAGCTCTTAGGCTCCTGGATCTCCGTGCTCTGCTGAGGGTGGGTCGCTTGTGCTCAGACCAGGAAAGGATGTCCTGGGTGGAGGAGCAGCTCCTGCCCAGTCTTGTCTGGGGCCTGGGGCCTGGTCCCCATGAGCTGTTTCCTGAGGTCCCTTCTGTGCCCTCAGCCCTATGTGTCCCAGGTCCATACACCCTCCAGGAGGTGGCAGGCCAGCCTCCGGTCTTGGGGAGGGTTTCATGGCTGGGCAACCTTGCAGAAGTGATGTCCCCTGAGCCTCGTCTCCTGTGGTGGTGGAGCACTGGGTGCCTGGGGGTGGCCAGCCCACCAGTGTGGTTGGGCACCTGGTAAACCCTTTCCTGCTAAACCAGGAGTTACAGACGGGCTGAGTGCGCTTGCAGGATGTGCTTGCAAAGCCGCGGCCAGTGCGCAGTGAGGCCCTTGTACGACTCAGCACTGGCACGTTTTCCCTCAGGAGGGTCCGTGGAGGCCGCCTTAGGGAGTGAGTGATGGCCAGAGCTGAGGACAGCAGGGCCAGGTCACAGGAAGGACCCCCAGGCAGCCTGCTGGGGGGACAGCGGGTGGGCAGGGGCCTGGGGAGTTTCCATCCTGTCCCGCACTCCGGCCGGGTGGTCCTGCTGCTGACCTGAGCCCGGGGCTGACCTGTGCCCGGGGCTGATGGCGCTCCCCTGTCCCAGAGTCCCAGGCGCAGGGGAGGGTTGTGGGACTCCTGCACCGGGTCCCTCCTGGTTGGTTGGGCATGGGACACTGGCGGGGACATTTATGGCCACACATCCCCTGGGCAGCCAGGGGGAAGCCAGGTCTGGGGGGCGGGGGCAGGGTGCCGTGGGGAAGGGGGGACCCCTGTGTCCCCACTGGGCACCTTATCAGTGGTGTCAGGCGGGGCCATCCCCAGGGCCATCTCCCCAGGCCCTGTTATCAGCCCCAGAGTCCACAGGACGCTCCTCGGGTTAACGTGTAACCACACGCTTTCCCCTCCACTCCCAAAGCCACCCGTGCCCACATACGTGCCACTCTGGGGGTTCAGAGGCCGACATGGACGCCTGGGAAGAGGGTCTGCCCGGAAAGCCTTGCTTCTCAGCCCAAGTGAGAGACGCCGGGTGTGGGAGGGGGTTAGGCTTGCGCTCCGGGGAACCTGAGCAGCCTGCCAGAAGTGGGGGCCCTGCCCTCAGGAGGCTGGGCTCCCCGCGGACAGTGAGTCAGGTTCCCGGGTGGGGGTGCAGTGGAAGCCCCACGAGCTGAGTCCTGGCCGCGTGGCGCCTGCCCCCCAGGGGCCGGGAGCTGGTGGGGCTCCAGGGACTCGGTGACCCCCTTGTCTCCCAAAGCAGCCGCGCCTGTGCCGGCGGTTGAGCCCCTTCTTCCTCACCTGTGCCATCTACTTCCTCCTCTGGATCCCTCAAGACCGGCCGTCCTGGGTCAGCGCCCTGGTCAAGTGCCTGCCGGTGGTGTGCCTGGCGGCGTCCCTGCAGGTCGAGCGCGGGGGCAGACGTTACCGCACACTCCTGCAGGGGGCCCTTCTGTGCTCGGCTGTGGGGGATGCCTGCCTCATCTGGCCCGACGCCTTCCTCCATGGTGAGCGGGGCTGCACGCTCACTTGTGGACCCCCACCCGGACAGGGACCCCCGCTCTCACAGAGCCCTCCTTCCCCTGGGGGGGTTGGGCGGCAGAGCCTTAGAGGGTGTGAGTGGCGTGGAGGGACAGGAAGGGGGGCTTCGGGGGTCGCAGTCTTGAGTAGCTGGTCAAGGATGGCCTCACCCAGGAGGTAACGTCTTGAAGAAAGTGCAGGAGCCATGGGAGGAGGGACGGTCCAGGCAGGGAGCCAGCAAGTGCAAAGGCCCGGAGGTAGTCAGCACGGGTGGGTGGGTGGAGCCAAGTGGGGAACAGAGCAAAATGGGGAGTTGTAAGCCGAGTGAGGATGGAATGCAGTGTGCCTTTTAAGGTCACTCTGGTGCCAAGGGCAGGGACAGGGGAGCCTGCCCCAGGGAGGCCGGTACGGTAATCCCAGCCGATGCGGGCAGTGTAGCCAGGGTGGACACTGCTGCTCGGGGCAGTCCTTGCCCTCAGGCTCTGAGCTGCGAGGTGGCCTCGTGGGAGCAACAGGTCCTGTCTCCTCTAGGCGTGGCTGCCTTTGCCGCGGCCCACCTGCTCTACCTCTGGGCCTTCGGCCTCACTCCCCTGCGGCCAGGCCTCCTGCTGCCCATCGCGCTGGTCT